GATATGGGGAAGGAAGGACAGCTGGGAGTCGAACCGGACACCTAGATTGCACCCTGATTCGGTGATCTGAGGTGGAGCCCAGACAGGTTGAGGAGTTCAGGTCCGCAGGAGTGAAGACGTTGACAGGAACCAAGGAATATGGCTTCTGTCTTATCCACATTCAGCTGCGGGAAGTGTGCACTCATCCAGGCCCTGATGTCTGCCAGACAAGCTAATATTGGTTCTGATGAAGGTTCGTGGACCCGAAACATTGACTCACTTTCCTTTCTCCATAGATGCTGCCTGACCTGCTGAGTGTTCCCAGCGTCTTCTGTATTTGTTTCAGAATATTGGTGGACCTGGAGTCGATGCTGGAGGAGGCAAAGTAGATTTGAGTGTCATCCGCATACATGTGAAACTTTATCCCGTGTCTGCAGATGACATCACCCAGAGGGAGCATATAGATGTAGAATAGAAGGGGGCTGAGGATGGAGTCCTGGGGTACTGGGCGAGGGTGAGCGGAGAAGCCATTTACCGAAATGAAGTAGAGGCAGTTGGTTAAGTAGGACTCGAAACATGCGAGTGTGGTCCCACTAAGGTGGATGAGGGAGGAGAGTTCGACTGTGTCGAACCCTGCAGAGAGATCCAGGAGGACGAGGAGGCAGAGGGAGCCCTGGTCACAGATAGGGAGGGCGTCGTTTGTGACTTAGACAAGCGCTGTCTTTGTGCTGTAGGCCGGGTGGAAACCTAGTCTAATTGGGCAGGAAGTCTAACCAGTTAAAACAACGGCTTGTCATTGAATGCGCTGCCTGGGAAGATTCCTGCTGCTTGTACGCCTAGATATACCCTACCTGTTAGGGCTTTCGCTTTCAGGATTAACAGGAACTGAGTGAGAAGTATCCTTGCTCCCATTCTCCCAATCTGGCCGCACTTTATCAAATTAAGTGACTATTGACAGTCTCTCTTCTGACAGCACTGGACACAATGGTTAACTGTTCTGTGATTTAAACTCTCTGCCATCCACTTTATCTCTTTGTGTTGATGCAAGAAAGTTGCACAAACCTACCCATCCCCATGGTGGTACAATGTGGTCACTCCTCTAATGACCACCCTTATGCTTCCCTCCTCAGTCTGGAAGGCCGAGAAAGAAAAAGACATTAAAGCGAGTTAGAGAAGTGCAACAAGCAAGTATTGATAATGTTGATATCAACCTGGGTTTGCTGACAGATTTATGGTCAAACTAGTGAAGTGGCCTGTCCCAAGGCAGGCAATAGGAAGGAGCTCTTACCTGCCAACAGAAACTCTCATTTCATTTGACTTTAACATATGTATCTGCAATGATTTTTTGTCAGTTTACCAGCATTGAATAATGGACTAAATTTAGCTTGAATGGCTAAATGATACCTATTTGACCGCGCTTTAAGTCATCTTGTTCTCTTTCTTAAGGTTGCAAAACATTATGGCAACCTAATCATTCTTGGTCAATTATATCATTACTGATCATAATTTATATCATTTGAAATCCACATTGTTGTAGGCTTTATTGGTGCTTTGTAATCTCTCCATCACTGCAGCTTCTGAAAAGCAATTCGGAGACATTTGTGAACATGTCCTTGTGGTGAGTGCACATTAGTTGAAGTGGACTCTATCCAAGTTCTACTGGAACAACTGAGACGTTCCCTGAACTTTGGCTTCATCATCTCATTCAAACATTGTGTGATCTGATCACTTCTAACATTGTTACAGTGCCCATAATCTTACTCTGGAGATGTTAGTGCATGCCAATCACTCATAGTACTGTGTCAGCTGCAATCCTGAACCCAGTCCTACAAGGCCCTAACCAGTAAAGGTTACTACACAGAGCCAACAGATTATATAGAATGTCTGCTGGATGGAGAGTGCTGCACAATAAAATCCTGTGAAGTGTTTTGAGACATCTGGACAATGTGATAAGGCGATATATCAAATGCAAGAATTATTATTGCTTCATATCACATCCCTCCCCACATCATGGCTTTGCTAACACTGAATAACTCATTCAAGCTCTGTGGGCCTCGCACCTCCTGTTATAGCTGTCCTGATAACTACATGGTATTAAATACCGTACCACTAGTCAACTGAGCTACCATTCTCCTTTCAGCAGTGGGTATATTTCATAAGAAATCCAGCTTAGTGTATTTTGTGCTGATATTAATACTACATCAGTTTTAAGACATCCTAGAGTTTTGTTGTGAAGTGTAAGAACAATATTAACAACAACAAAGTGACATTTGTAAAGTGCTTTTCACATTGGAAGGATGTCCCAAGACATTGACAGTCAGTGTTTCGGACCCGAGCTGGGGGTCGGGATTGGGAAGGGTGGAGAGCAAGGGGGAAGGATGGTGATCGAAAGCACGGTTGAAGAGGAGGGTCTTGAGATGGGTCTTGAAGGAGGCAAGAGAGGGGACAAGGCGGAGGGACTGCGGAATGGAGTTCCAGAGTGGGGGCAGAGTGGCTGAAGTCCTGCCCATTCAGTCTCTGAGTTAGTTCCAAACACAGTCTCCACAATTTGTTACTTAGGTCAGTATCCTATGAAGCAGCACTTAAATGCCTCCTCCAGGACCACAAAAGAAACTTGGTTCCAATGTAAAGGAGAAGTCCAGCGCACTGGACTCATTTTAAAAATAGCTTGATTGTGTGATGGTAGGACGGTAGGGTGCCTGTTTTGGAAGGATCAGATGGGCCAAAGGGTCTTCTTCATCCAAACCAAACTTCTGATCTTGTGCGGGAGTTATTTCTGGAAGGGAAGGGTGGGATTCGGGATGACTCCATATTTGTAGCGTTTCATAAATGTGTTCTATCTGAATACAGTATCACATTAAAAGCATTATGAAATCTATAAATCTTATCTCATTATTGACAAGTACAATATTAAAGACAATTGAAAATTAATATCGGTTCTCTAAACTGTTCCTGTTCCTAACTGATAGCTGAACTGTGGAAGAAACCCATTGTGGTAAGATTGCTTCTGCATTTCTCTTGATTGTCCCAGAAGGTGGATTAACATTTAGTTTTGACTCTTGGCCAAGCACAAAGTATTACAGTGCAACATGTCCACTGAGGTTACATGTGGCAGTGTTTTGAGGATGCTGATTTTCTCCACAACATATAGGGCTTAGATAGAAGAGGATGAGGGAACAGCTGTAGGTTTAAGTTAAGCTAGTTTTAATTTGATTAAAGATTGTGGTTTGAATACCCCCATCTTTGCTGCCTGAAATCCTTCGGTTAAGTTAAGATGCATTCAGATTTGTACTGAATGCATCTTTAAGATGGGAATGGATGGACTGGTGGGAGAGACTTGATGCTCCAACAGTTTAAGATTAAGTGTAATTGTTGCTTAATTGGTGATGCAGCTCAAGTCAGAAAACATTATTACCTTTGCTGTGAAGAGTGCAGAATACTTGTTGGAGATTGTGATTCACATGAAACAGTACTTCATGTGGCAGTTCAACATCACTCTGCTGCTGTGAGTCGATGTTGAGTTCGGGCAAAACAGACAGTCTTATTCTTAACCTCTTTATTTTAGTCAAAGGTGTCAATCTGGTTCAGTTGATAGCACTTTCACCTCTTGAGTCAGAAAATTGTGATTTCAAGCCCCTTATCCAGACTTTGAACTCATAATCTAGGCTGACACACCAGTCCAGTGCTGGGAGAGCACTGTGTTGTCCGAGGTGCCATCCTTCTGATACAAAGTTAAACCAAGGTCCCATCTGCCTATTCAAGTGGATGTTAATGATCCCACAGCAGTATTCGAAAAGAGAAGGAAGTTTCTCCCTGGAAGGAAGAATCCTGAAATTGCTCATTCACTTCATTCACTTCATGGCTGTTTGTGGGACATTTCTGTGAACAAATTTGCTGCCATGTTGCTAGAAAATACAGTCATTATACTTTACGGTAATTCTGTTATGATGCTTTGAAACATTTCAACAATAGAATAAGGCACAAAATCAAATGCAAGAATTATTATTATTAACATTTGCTATGTTACAAATTGGCCCCTGGGCCGATTGTTAATAGGTAATTTTTACCCGTGAAAAGTCATCCTAAACAGATGAATACTGGGTAACAAGTCTTTAAAATACCCGGATATAGAGAAAAAGATTTTCCCCCAAAAAATCACTTGAGTCATAGTCAAACAAGATAGTGCTTGGACCTATTAAGGAACAAACCCCTTCCTTGTGGGGATGGGGTGCTGCCATCTGCTGGTTTACAACAGTATTACTTTGTCACTCCACAGCAATAAATACAGGTACAGTATTATCCCATGGACAGTTTCAGCACAGAATGAGGCTTTTCAGCAGGTTGTCTCTGTGCCAGTATTACTGCATTTTCACCTTTTATTATTAATCTCATTTTTCAGCACTTTCTCCATATCCTTTAAGGTTTTACTGCTCCTGTTGTGTTCCAAACACAGTCTCCACAATATGTTACTTAGGTCAGTATCCTATGAAGCAACACTTAAATGCCTCCTCCAGGACCACAAAAGAATGCAAAGGAGAAGTCCAGCGCACTGGACTCATTTTAAAAATAGCTTGATGGGGTGGGAAGACAGTAGAGTGCTGTTTTGGAGGGATCAGAAGGGCCAAAGGGTCTTCTTCATTCAAACCAATCTTCTGATCTTGTGTGGTAGTTATTTCAGGAAGGGAAGGGTGGGACGCTACCCTGTGTGAGGGATGCTATATAAATGCAAGTTGTTGTTGTTAATGATTCTATTATTCCAGGGTCAATAGTCGCTTGTAATAATGAATTCCAATCCCCAATAACCCTCTGAGCGAAGAAATTCCTTCTCGCCTCTCACCTTGATTTATCTGCTAATAATCCAGATTCTGTGCCCTTTGTCTTTGATTCCCCAGTCAAAAGAAATAGATTTTCTCTATTTACCTTGTCAAGCTCCTTTGGTAACTTAAAGACATTGATTCTAATTTAGCTACGCTAGAATCTGACGCAGAATACAATGTACTTTTTAATGACTTGTTCTGCAGCTGAAGATCTCTACCATCAAGATGGGGAAACAAAACAGCAAGCTACGGCCTGAGATGATGCAGGATTTGCTGGACAGCACAGACTTCACGGAGCATGAAATCCAGGAGTGGTACAAAGGTTTCCTCAGGGATTGCCCTAGCGGCAATTTATCAATGGAAGAATTCAAGAAAATTTATGGGAACTTTTTTCCCTATGGGGATGCTTCAAAATTTGCAGAGCACGTTTTTCGCACTTTCGATGCCAATGGAGATGGGACAATAGACTTCCGGGAGTTTATCATTGCACTGAGTGTCACATCGAGGGGCAAACTGGAGCAGAAGCTGAAATGGGCGTTCAGTATGTATGATCTCGATGGAAATGGATACATCAGTAAATCCGAGATGCTGGAGATTGTTCAGGTATTCTTTCACATTGTTTCTGGATTCTGAATGATTTGATGACAATGTGTCCTTTTTGTTTCCTTGTCTTTCTGTTCACCCCCAACCCCCAAGTACACACACGCACACACAAAATGCATGGCCGATGAGCTAGGTGGGTCATTAGTCAACGCGTCATCTGAACCTGGCTCAGTTGGTAGCTTTTTGATCAGAAGGTTGTGGATTTAAGCCCCTGGTTGGGACTTTGAGCTCACAGTCTAGGCTTATTGCAGTGCATTGTTGGAAATGCCATCCTTTGGATGAGAAGTTAAAACGATGTCTCATCTGCACATTTAGCGCTTGATGAAATCACTGACATCCCTCATCCCTTTTCACATCACTGACATCCCTGATTTGCCAAACATGTTTCCCCCCCAGGTTAATTATGTTGCAGATCCTGTTGCCAAAGATGAGTGTAAAATAATGGTCCTCGACTAACAAACCATCAAATATGTAATAATAATAAATGTTCCAAAATCCCGTCTGCCTCTTTAGGTGGACATTAAAGATTCAATAGCAGTAGCGGAAAAGAGAAGGGAGTTGGCCTGGTGTCGTGCCTGACAATCTCCCAGATAAACTGAACATTTACCTGCTGATCGCTTATGGTACATTGTTGTGTTGCTGCTGAGTTTGACTATCAATGCACAGTCACTACACTTAACAACAACATTTATATTAGCGCTCTTCATGCACTGTAGCATAACAATTAACAATATTCACTGTAACAATTAACTCGGAGCACTTAACTGCTTTCTTCCACCTTCACCACATTGCCCGTCTCCGACAATTCCTCACCATAGCTGACGAAACCCTTGTCCATCTCTTGGCTGGACTACCCTAACGCCCTCCTCACCGGTCTCTCCTCCTCCACTGTTCACAAAATTCAGCTCATTCAAAACTCCGCCACCTGCATTCTCACCCGCACCAAACTCCACACCCCGATTACCCCAGTCCTTGCCAAACTCCGCTGGCTTCCTATCACAGAGCGGATTGACTTCAAGATTCTCACTCTAGTGTTTAAATCCCTCCATTCTTGGCACCCCCTCCATCTCTCTAACCTCTCTCTCCACAGCAGTACCCGCTGCCTCTGCTCTATTGGGACCGGCCTCCACCGCGTCCCACGAATCCTCTGCTCCACCATCGGTGGCCATATCTTCAGCCACTATGCCCCGAAACTTTGGAACTCCCTCCCTCAACCCCTTCGCCTCGCCCCCTCCTTCCCCATCTTCAGGTCGGGCTTGAAGACTTTCCTTTTCGACCGCGCCTACGGTAACCTTCCCCCTCCCCCTGGCTTGGCCTTGGGCTCCACCATTGTTAAATGCTCTGAGACACCGCCCTGCATGGAGGGCGCTATGTAAGTGCAAGTTGTTGTTGTTGCACTGACTGTAATTTAGCCTCAGAAAGAACTATAAGGAGGGTTATAATAATAATAATACTTGCATTTGGTATTACTCTAGGAGGAAGTTAGAATCAACAGATCTTGATGACGTAAAGATGTAGTTTGTGTAAGGCTATGTGCCAGGAAAGTTTAGTAAACTCGTTGTTTGACCAAAAGCTTATTTGAATTGCAGTCACAGTGGCTGGAGTAGGCTATTAAAGCAGATGGACAGATTACGTGATATAATTTGACTTGCCATCGGGAATAAAGATTGTTTGTTTGCCAAACTAATGTTGTAGCAAACCATACAATCGCAAGCAAGAGAACTGTGGCTTCTTTCAGACAGATGTTTGCTTTAAACCCCATGTTAAGTACTGAGCTGTAACCATACTTCAGATTTGGGATCCGCAGTAAAGCTATTAGAAATGACCTACTTGTCAGTAGCTTGTTCTGCTTTTTGTTCAATTTAGAATTTTTGATTTTGCTCTATACAGGGCCCACTGTCTCAGCCAATAATAATAAGATTAATAAGAATGATCCTTGTATTTGATATAGCTTCTTATCACCTCGTTGAGATGTCACAAAGCACTTCACAGAATATACTGTAAAGTGTATTGACTGCATATTTTTATGGGTGAAACACGGCAGCCAATTGCACACAGTAGTGTCCCACAAACAGTCATGGATTGAGTGACCAAGTTGTTGGGACAGCAGCCAGTTGCTGGACTGTAGATTCATAGGAAAAAAAACCTGAAATGTAAAAAGAGAAAATAATAATAGAAATAATCCTTGTATTTGATGTAGTACCTGTCATGTCATCGAGATGTCTAAGAGCGCTTCATAGGAGTCACTGTTAAGTATAATGACATTTTATGTGTAAGCAAATCCCATGGCTACCAATTTGCACACCAATATGTCCCACAAACAATCGTGAAGTGAATGACCAACTTCATCTGGAGAGTTGTTGGCTAGTACACCAGGAGAAACTCCTTTCGAATAGTATCTTGGGATCTTTAACATCCACCTGAACAGGCAGACTGTGCTTTAAGTCTGATCCAAAGGACGGAACCTTCAAATTTTTCCCGCCAACTTAAATCATCATACTTTCAATATCCTGGCCGCATTTATTAATGCATTTATGTACATGTTTATGTATTTATAGATATGCCTAACTCATCACTCTGGATGACTCATCACTGAGCCCTTCTCCCATGAAATGACAAGTTATCAAGAGTTTACTGTATAACTTTTTTTTCTTTGTAAGGAGAAATTCTATTATATAAAGACATGGTGAAGAGATCTGTATTTATAGTGATGAACCTGTGTCACACCTCACTGTTCCCAGTACTCTCACATTGTGACCTGATTTTTTTCAGCATATTGATTTCTGTATTTTCCTGTATATTTTCTTGCAGGAAATAGTCATCAAAGATTAATTTAATACCTTAAATACCGTCCGCCCGCATTCTCACCTGCACTAAACTTAGTACCTCCATTACCCCAGTTGCCAAACTCCATTGGCTCCCTATCACAGAGCGGATTGATTTCAAGATCCTCACTCGTATACAACAGCAAGATTACATTTGTATAACGGACAGAGTACAGCATTTCAGATATTTAATTTATATTTAAATTGTATATTTAAATTCCTTCACGCCCTGACAGCCCCCTATCTCTCCAACCTGCTTTCTCCCTAAACCACTGCCTGCTGCCTCCGCTCGACTGGCTCCGGCCTCCTCATTGCCCCCTGGACTCTCCCTCCCCACCATCACCGGCTGTGCCTTCAGCCACTAAGCCCCGAAGCTGTGGAACTCTCTTCCTCAATCCCTTTGCTTTTGCCCCCACTCTCCCCATTTTCAGGTTGCGTTTGAAGATCTTCCTCTTCGACTGTGCCTACGGTCACCTTCCCCCTCCCCTTGGCTCCGGATCAGGCTTTGCTACTGTTAAGTGTTCCCAACGTGCTATCTGGCGTGAAGGCTGCTGTATAAATGCAAGTTGTTACTGTGCCGGCATGCCTATAGAGACCCAAGCTTATGCACTGACTACACCTTTTCAGGTCAATGTATTCTGAGAAAGAATACTGTAACAAGGGAGGGGATTTGGGGTTATTAACTGATTAATAATCAATAGTTACCTTTATGCCTCCCAATGGGCGCTCCCCAGAACACACCATTCAGTCATAGGCTGCTGGTTCTCCGGAACTCCCCATTCCCAAGGGGGGATGTTTAGTTGTTTCCCCACTGCATTCATTAGAGGACACATGAGAGGACAGCTTCCTGCTGTTTCTCCTCACCCACTGTGCAGACTCCACCCCCATCTCTAACATTTCCAATATTTGGGATGTTATAGCACTAAATCTACTCAAGCACTCAGACTAGTTTTGTTACGGTAATATTTGAAGCAAAGTGTTATGGCTTTCCTAAAGCTTTCCTTTATTTTTAAGGACGCTGTTAGCAACACCACCAGGGTTGCCCTTTTGTAAATAAGTAATTTGCCCCTTGAGGCAAGCAATCGTTTGCCCATGAAATACACAGCCACTACACTTTATAATAAATCCTGTTAAGTCCTTTGAGACGTACTCCCGACGTGAAAGGAGCTATATCAAATGCAAGGATTATTATTATTTTTATTATCCTATTTGGTAAATTTTAGGCCCCACATTGGGCTTAATTTTTTTTGTTTAATATTAAGGTTGAGCTATCTAAGAGGGCCAAAATTACTGCTCCCCGAGCCTAAAAAACTAACTGCAATCCTAGCTAAATGTATCTTTTACGAATTAGCCCATATTTGGGTAAAATATGTTTTTATTGCCAGAGGACAGAATGATGCCAAATGTAGCACACCTCAGGGCAAGAAGGATAGGCCAGGAAACTATAGACCAAACTGCTAGAGGTTTATAATACAGAATCTTACAATAGGGGATGAAATAATGGAGCACTTTCAGGGAAAAACAAGCAAATCAGAGCCAGTCAGCACAAATTCCGAAATGGCAAGGAATCGCTTGAACAACTTAATAGAAGTCTTTGAAGAAATAACAAAGAGGATAGATAAAGCAAATGCAGTACATGTGGCTGATACGGATTTTCAAAAAGCATTCGATAAGGTACCACATAAGAGGTTTATGTCAAATGTAATGGTGCATGGAATGAATGGAAATGGGGTAGAGGGATAGAGACATTTTGAGAACAAAAAGGAACGAGTCGGAGTGAAAGGAAGCTTCCCAGACTGGACACATTTCGTGAATGGCATTCCACAGAATTCTGTATTGGTGCTGTTCTCATTTACTATATAAAATCATGACCTGGATTTAGCAATTGAGGGAACGATACTGAATTTTGCTGATGACACCCTTTGGGAATGGAAAACGTCACAAGCAATGTGAAAGACTGCAGGCGGACAGGGATAGGCTGGCAGGGTGGGCAGATAGATGGCAGTTGAAGATCAATGTTGCAAAATGTGAGGTAGCATATTTTACGAGTAAGAATAAGAAAAGGAATACATCTTACAACCTTTTGTAATTTTAAATAGAGTACAGGGACCCTTGCTGTGCACATACAAAGCTCATTAAAGATTAGATATTATCATAGAAAAGCAAATTGAATCATTGGATTTATATCTTAGAAGAGGGTGAGAAAACAAAAGCAAGCAGCAATGTTGAACTTGTACAAGACCTTAGTTGTAGTTGGAGTCCTCATGGTTAGATTAATGTATATAGTTAGGGGGATAATACTCATCCAGATATACCCTGGGGTGCTATATAAATGCAAGTTATTGTTGTTGTTGATATCAAAGCAATGGAAAAGGTGGCTCACTAGCATGTTACCAGGCATGCCGGGTTTCAGTTATATAAAAAGAAACTTGAGCAATGTGTATTGAGGCTGGGTGAGTATTATCTAAATTCTAGACCCTAGAGATGTCTTGAATGCATGTTGTTTGCTCAATATTTGTGTTCCAGGGTTGTCCTGCTGAGGAGAAGTGAAAACCATGCTTTCCCCAGCCAAGTAATCAAGTTCATACTGTTGGACCCAAGACACCAGGCATAGCTGAACGCATACAGTGAGCGCTGATACTGAAATAATTTATTTATATACCTAAGAATTGCCTGATATACCTCTAATCTTATACAGGCAATCTACAAGATGGTTTCTTCAGTGATGAAGATGCCAGAAGATGAGTCCACACCTGAAAAAAGGACAGAAAAAATCTTCAGACAAATGGACACTAACCGAGATGGTGAGTTCACATCTTCTCCTCAGCTTTGTCACTGTTTCAGTACTGGAACTTTGTCAGACTTTTACACAAGTTACCACAGTACCCCCACTATTGTCATAGCAGGTTTTTACGACAGTAACAAAAAATTCCATTTGTATAGCACCTTTCATGTCAGGAGGACGTCCCAAGGCGCTGAACATTTTGCATGCTGTGCATCGATTTCTGTGCATCAGCCAAAAATATATCCTTTGAAGTTTTGAGACAACCTCCTGACTTGAAAGGCACTATATCAAACATAAGGATTATTATTATTATGTCAAGAGCAATTTTTTTTGTCAATGTGCTCATTTCCACTTTCCACTCTTTCACTCTTTTGCATGTTTGGTCAACAGCTCAGATCTACATTTTTGCTTAAGTGTCCTTCTCTTGCATTGCAGGTAAACTATCCCTTGAAGAGTTTATCCGAGGTGCCAAAAGTGACCCTTCCATTGTCCGTCTCCTTCAGTGTGACCCCAGCACAGCCGGTCAATTCTAATTCCAAATTGAAGAAAGTTGACATTTCAATGTGACTGTGTTCCTGCTTCATTTGCCATATGTGACTGGTGGCTTGGCCACCTTGTTACGGACATACCTACCATCCATTAGCGCTGTTTGCTTTTAAATTTTGAATTTGGAAATGGCTGTTTAATTAAACAATGTGTCCGGACCTATGACAGAACCATTTTTTTTAGCTACGTGGAAGTTTTATTATAATTGTATTTACCTTGATCAGATATCTCCTAGGTAATTAATATTTTTAATAATGCTACTTTTGAAATAGAAAGAGGAGGGGAGTAGTTTTTTTTTAAGGGGTTGTTAGTACTGGTGTGTCTTTTTAATAGAAAAGCTTCCAAATAAGGATTTACGGATCTTTTGCCTCAGAAACGCATGCACAGGAAGATTGGTGGTTTGAGATTGCACTGGTGAGAGACGTGCCCTTCACCACACCGCAGCTCAGTCACACTGTCACAGTGCCATCAGCAACAAATGGCAATACAACAATACTACCTGGAGGAGATGGAGTCAGAATGTTGGTCAGGTGAACATTTATGTGGCAGCTCTTGTCAAAAACCCATCAATCTTTCAGTGCATTCACGGGGTTCTGTATATGAAGCAAGCCACTGAGAGGTGCTGATTCTGTGACAATGCATTGGGAGCTATTTCAAACCAAGAGTGGAGTAGAAATGTACGTGTCTGGGGGGTGCTATTCATACAACGTCAAATTCATCTTGTGACGGGTAGTGGACAAGTCCTGAGCTGCTAAACGTGAAGTAAATTTGAGCCATAATCTGGGAAGGAGATTATAAAAATTAGGGATGAAAATCAGTCAGTAGTGCTGTTCATTCTCATTTACTTCTCTCTATCTCACATCAATTTTGTTCTCCGATTCCCCCCCTTCCCTCTGCACCTCCTTCTCTAAAGGCATTTGTCTCCTTTCTCAGCTCCACGGAGTACATCATCCAAGTGGCCATTCTTCATTTATGAACATGCATCCATTTGACAAGAATGCTTCGCGGTTGAGCCTGTTGTTGGATCCTTCCAGCAGGCAGGGGATACTGGGAGGTGTGAGGAGTTGCATTGGGTAATGGTAATGAAATACACTGGACAGTGATCAGGAGGTTGGCACAAGATAGTGAGGAGGAACTGCACCTGATAGTGATCAGGAACTGACTTGGTTGATTACTTTCCCTCTTTTGTCTAAGTTGTTGAAGCCAATTGTTGTACATCTAGACCTGCCCTGGCTGAGATCAATGATTAAACCTGTGACCTCTGAAGTCAGCATGTCTCAGATTCTCACTAAACAAAATAATAAAAAATAAATTGCCAGATAAAACTAAGCTCCAATAAAAAGTTTGATGGCTTAGGTTTCCCTTATAGATCTGGCAGAAAGCAGGCGGTCAATTCCCTTTTCAGGGATGGCCATGATTTACGATAATGTTATCGAAAGCTCATCGCCAATGAGTGCAGTCGTAGACTTGGGTTTGTTTACTAAC